ATATTGATAAATTTTAACACAATTTGGCATACTAAAATATACTTCTCTTGATTTGAGATAACCTGCCATATTGAAACAAAGATATGGACAATAAGTTTTAAAAATAATTAACTTGCAATTTAGAGAAATATCATCAGGTCACTCAAAAATATATTATTACCCAGCACTGAGCTATATTTTAGATTTGCTAATTGATGGGATTGTTTGTGGATAATGGCGGCAGTCCATTTACAAAAAGAAATGTAGTTCAATTTCCTTTATTATGTTACTATGGTCTGAATATTTGTATACCCCTCAAATTAATATGTTGAAATCCTAAACCCCCAAAGATGATGGTACTAGGAAATGGGGACTTTGGGGGATATCTTATAAAAGAGGTTCCAGAGAGATCCCTAGCCTCTTCCACCATGTGAGGACACACTGAGAAGGTGCTGGTTATAAACTAGGAAGAGGACTCTCACCAAAGAATGCGACCATGTTGACGCCTTGATTTTGGACTTCTGACATCCAGAGCTGTGAGAAATAAATTTCTGTTGTTTATAAACTACCAGGTCTGTGGCATTTTGTATAGCAGCCCAACAGACTAAGATACATGTAAATACCAACTTTAAAATCTGATGTTATAATGGAATTTCACTTGTTTTTATTTAAACAAGAAATTTCACCTTGAATCAGAAACTCTGGCCCATAAAATAAGTAGAATTTTTGAAATAAGTACCTGAAAACTATGCTCTCATTTCAATACTGGCCATCTTTTATTTATGAACTGTAATTCATCCTTTGTCTCTGACAACATAGGCAAAGCTAAAGTTATCCTATCAACAAGGATATCAAAATAAACATGATGATTCTGATTGATTCCAGACTCATTGCTCTAGTTATGAGGCAAAACTTGATGCCCAGAGAGCCTTTACTGAATTATGAAGGAAAATCTGCTAATCTACCCCTCACAACTGCCTTTGTAAAGTGGCCCCTGTCACATAGTGATATTCTTTCTTTGGATCCATTAATGGCTTCAGTTAGCTAAGGTGAAGTGATGAGAGTTGCTTATTTCCAATAGGTATTTATCTAATTGATGTAATTTTTTTAAATAAATGTATTTCTTTTATTATTTCTTTATAGTTTTGGCTGCATTGGGTCTTTGCTGCTGTGCGCGGGCTTTTGTGGTTACGGCGAGCGGGGGCTACTCTTCGCAACGGTGCGTGGACTTCTCATTATGGTGGCTTCTCTTGTTGGGAGCACGGGCTCTAGGCACGCGAGCTTCAGTAGTTGTGGCATGTGGGCTCAGTAGTTGTGGCTCACGGGCTCTAGAGCGCAGGCTCAGTAGTTGTGGTGCACGGGCTTAGTTACACCATGGCATGTGGGATCTTCCTGGGCCAGGGCTCAAACCCGTGTCCCTTGCATTGGAATGCAGATTCTTAACCACTGCGCCACCAGGGAAGCCCCTAATTTAATTTTCAGAGTAAAATTTTCAGTTTATCCTAATATCCTAGTGCTGGACATCTCTTTATACAGCCCTACTCACAGTACTTGCTGTTTTTTTACCATGCATAAACTTTCACAAAATGTTGGGATATGTTCTTGGAAATATGTCATTTTGGCTGTGGCTGTTAGGCTCCCACAAGCTAGAGAGTGCAAAATGGTTTATCATCCTGTTTCAATAAAACATAATAGGTATAAATCAGAAGTACAAAGATTCCACATGGCATGGTGCATTTGATTTCAGAGCTATGTTTTTCTCGTTGGAAAAGTAATATTTAGTCATTGTCAAAACTTTGGAATATAAAGAACTGTATAGAGAAATAAATGAAAATCACCCATGCATTTAACTCCTTAAAAAAAACACTCTTAACAACTTCGTATATTTCCTAATAGTCTTTTTCTGTACATATATTTTTCTAAAGCTGTGTTGATACTGTAATTGTTTTTATGTCCTGCCTAAACATTTCCTCTTGTCACTAAAACTTTCTCATGACTATTTTTCTACAGCACTTATGTATTTATTGAGCATGCAGTGGGTGCTCAATGAATGTTCAAAAGATGTCTCTGCCCAGACCTCCTTTAACGGCTAATTATCTGCTGCATCTCTTCCTCTTTAATTGCAACTCCTCATTGCAGCCTTTAGTATTGCTATCCACCTCCTTCCCCCCACCAACAGTTTATTTTGAAAAGATTTCAAACCTATTATTTAAAGCAATAATAGTACAGTCAACACCCTTGTACCCTTCACCTATGTTCACTTATTGTCACCTTCTGCCACATTTGCTCTTTCTTTTATTTTTTTTGCATCAATATACACTTTTTATTGAGTCATTTGAAAGCAAGTTAGAGACTTCATGACATTTTGCCCTTAAATACTTTAGCACATACCTGCTAAGAACAAGAGCTTTCTCCTACATAACTACAAACCATTTTGCACCTGAGAAATGTAATATGTATGAAAGAATGATATCAAACCTGGATATCCGATTTATATACACATTTTCCCCACTGTGCAAACTATGTCCTTGATAGCTATTTCTGTTATTTTTCTTTCTGTTGTTGCAAGATTCAATCACATATCACTCAATGCATTTATTTTTTATTTATTTAATTTTTTTGGGTGTATGGCTTGCAGGATTTTAGCTCCCCGATGAGGGATCGACCCGTGACCCCTGCAGTGGAAGCGTGGAGTCCTAACCACTGGACCGCCAGGGAATTCCCTCAGTACATTTAGTTTCATGCCTTTTCCTGAACATTTTGTTTGCGGTGTAATATATCATGCAGTGTCACAATTTTACCATTTCCTCACTGTTGAATAATTGTATTGTCATAAGTAAAATTTTAAATTCATGAAATTAATATATGTTCATAATATAGAAATAAAAAATACAGATGAAAAACTAAAGAATAGCTTTGCTTAAATGTTGATATATATTCATTCTGCTATGCTATATGCATGGGTAGAGATTTATATAAAAATGTTTACAAGAACATGATCATAAAAATATATGTATTTTATATATGTATATTATACACATGTATGCACGCATATAAATTTTGGGGGGTAACAGTATGTAGGGAAGTATTTCTACATCAAGAAATAGTCCTCGATTATTTCATTCTAATGGCTGCTTAGTAGTTCTTTACTCATTTCATAATAATTTAATCAAGCTCCTATTTTTATACAATTAAGATTTCAGCATTTTTAGAAAGCAATAATTAGCATTATTTTAATTAAGTTATTTTAACATATTAGTCATTATTTCTTTAAGATATATTGCTAACTTTGAGACTGATGAATTAGAGTCATATTTTTAAGGCTTTTGTTCTGTATTGCCAGATTGCTTCAGAGATTGTTATCTATTTCTACTTCTATCACAAATTTGTAGAGTCTTTGGTAGACTATAATTTTTATTTTTCCAGAATGGTTGAACCATGTGTCTAGTACACTGTTCAATAAAATTTTCTCTGCCATATGATTTGAAATGCTTAATTTAGCACAGTAATTCTCAAACATTTTGGTTTCAGAACCCCTTTATGCTCTTAAGTATTATTGAGGACCTCATAGACCTGCTTATGGAATTTAAACAACAAAAACAGGTTATACCTCTCAATATTTACTATTTTGAAAATGAAAATTCAGAAATTTGTGTAATATTTATTTATTGAAAAATAATAATAGACCCCTTTTATATGTTAATATAAATAACATTTCATAAAAAATAATATTTCCAAAAGAAAAGCATTTTAGTGAACTGAGTGGCTTTGTCTTGTATTTTTGCAAATATCTTTAATGTCTAACTTCAGAGAAGACAGCAGGATTCTCTTATCTGGGTCTGTATTGAATCTGTTGCAATAGCACATGCCACACAGCCTCTGGAAAACTCTATTGTATGTTGTAAGAGAATGACAGTGAAAAGGGCAAATACTATTTTTAGTACATTTTAAAAATACCTTTGATCTTATGGACTTTGGAAGAGTCTCATGGACCTGAGGGGTCTCCAACACACACTTTAAGGACCACTTCTTTAGCTTACAATAAAAGTGGGTTAAAGCAGTGTCTAAGAATGTGGACTCTGGGATCCAGACTGCCTAGATGCAAATTGAGCTTTCACAAATGAGTTGGGTGGCTTCAGGCAAGTTATTTATGCTCTACCAAGCTTTATCTGTAAAAAGGAGCTAATAACAGTGCCTACCCCACAGGGTAGTGGTGAGAAGGAAAGGAATTAATGTTGTCATAGGTTTAAAAACATACCTGGTACAGGGTTAATGCTGTATGTGTGTGCAAGCTGTATATTTGAGTACGATTCTGTATTTTCCTTTTTTTTCATGGATCTATCTATTTATGTAGCAGTCCCATGCTGTTTTAATAAATATAACATTAAGATATGTTTTTAATATCTGGTAGGGCACAGCCTTCTTCATTAATATTCATTTTCAGAATATCTTGGCTGTTTAGCCAAGCATGTTTACTCTTTCAGATCATTTTACCAAGTTCTCATAATATTGAGAATTGAACAGAATTACATAATAATTAAAATTAATTTGGCTGGGGTTCATATCACTATAATATTAAGCTTTTAAATTCCAAAATAGGGTATTTATTTCCATCTATTTATGTAGACATTTTGAAATCTCAGTAATTTGTAAATAACTCAAGCAGTAAAGTTGCTAGGTAATCATAGAAGAGTCTCTCTCATGAAAAGATTTCCATTTTTAAAACTGAGAAATGAAACTTCAACTTAGAAAAGATTTAATAAAGCCTTTAATAAGAATGGTTTTTATAAATGTTAAAATAAAAATGTTCAATGTCTTTGGTGGGGCTGGATTTTTAGCTGCGTGATCAGCAGTGTTTTAATTTGGGTAGATAACTCCTCTGTGAAATAATCCACATTTCTATGATCAAAATGTTCTTATTATAAGCAATAGGAATAGATTTTCTTTTACACTAATTTTTTAATGTCATCAGATAATCATAATTAACATTACATATCAATCCTGCATATTTATAGTCTTACCTGATTACAAGACCAGCAAAGAATGATATTGTTAATTGCATATGTGGTCAGCAGTAGTTGGAAAATTTTTCATCGATGTAGAAAACAGTCCAGAACCACCTGAATTAGAATAAAAACAAATCAGAATATGTAAGTGACAGTTCTACCATTAGATGTAGAAGTACTATTTTCAATGAATATTTATAAGTAAACAGTGCTTATTTTAAGTACACAATTTATTGAATACCTACTATGTTTCCGTTGAGTTCTGAATGGTTAAGTCATTTGCTGGAGATAAATCATACAGCTATGAAGTAACAGCCCAATTTTGAATCCAAATCTGTTTGACTTCAAAGGCTGTGCATATCATAATTATGTGCCTTCTTTCTCTAGGGGAATTGGAGGCCCTTTGACGCTGCCAAAATCTTCTGAGAATAAGGAGAGGCTGTTCACAAGTGGTTACTCCTGTGTGAGGCTTTAAAAACCCTTTCATTTTTCAGGGTTCCCCCAGTCCTGTAAAGGCCCCTTCATGCCTGCTTTAAAGTACTCCACTTATTGCCAGTAGAGTCACTGTGGCCAGAATGGCGGTCAAAGTTCCCTTCTTATTGCTTCTCTAAACACATTTTCCATCAGTCCTTATGGCTGCTCCCTATCCACACCCTTCCCTTTTCCTTTTTTCTTCCCACGACTTACTCTTTTTTTTCGGTACGCGTGCCTCTCACTGTTGTGGCATCTCCCGTTGCGGAGCACAGGCTCCGGACGCGCAGGCTCAGCGGCCATGGCTCACGGGCCCAGCCGCTCCGCTGCATGTGGGATCCTCCCGGACCGGGACACGAACCCGTGTCCCCTGCATCGGCAGGCGGACTCTCAACCACTGCGCCACCAGGGAAGCCCCCCACTACTTATTCTTTACTTCATGTATTTATTCACTCATACAGAAGTATCTGTGGAGTGTCTACCATGTGCCTTAGTGCACAGTTAGAAATGCTGTTACCTTTCCACCTTCCCCTCTTCTACCCTTTCTCGGTCTCCTCTTACCAAAGTCACATTGTTTATGCTAAGGCTATGTGGTTTATGGGTGATCTGAATTAATCATCTGCAGGAAGCAAAGGTAAAAATTTTGCCTGACACAATGCCATGAGGACTTAAAATATAGGCTTGCTTCTAATTACTCTGTTTAGTGACCTTGGTAAAAACTTTTTTTACTCTGACTTCAGACCACTATTTTGAATTCCTGTGAATATATTTAACTGTTTGCTAAGGTTGGGTATTGATTAACTTCATCAATATTGGATCACCTCCCAGTCCTGCAGTCTCCACAGGCGCAGGCTCACTTGTATTGTGTTAAATTGCATGCTACCTCAGGGAAACTCCTCTTGTGACATAAATGCTAACATTACACAGTTATCCAGAGTTTATCATTTCACTCTTCTCTATCAGGAAAATTTGAATCATTTGTTCTACTATTAAATGGTACTCATTAAACAGTAACCTCCTTGGGGAAAAAAATAAAAATGTTCTTCACAGAACTTTTCCAGGAAAAAAAATGGTAACCTTTCATAATTCAAAGCAATGCGGATTAAAAATCTAACCCTTTACATGGATTATAAAAATCCACTCTTTGACAATACCTGCTTCCAATTCACCTATTAATTTATGGATGCCATAAGGCATTAACTAGAAATTATGATATCACATTTACTGCCAAGTTAAAAAATGTCAAAACCATGGTCCTATAGCGGTAGCAATAAAATATTGCATTGAGAAAAATCAATTTTCTACTGAAGGATTGGGTGAATAGGTCAATGTTCCCAGACTGAAAATATACATTTGACTTTATGAACACAGTGCATTTATATACACTCAAAACAAAAATGCTAGCATGAGAGGATAAAAGGATTTATTCCTAAGAGTCTGAATTAATCATACATCTAACTTTACTACTTCATTAAACTTGAATAAAGCTCATGGGTTTAATTTTTTAAGGAATATAAATTATTATCATTTTTTTCTGATCACCATGGTAAGGTGATAGTAGACTTGGTAAGAAAATAGTAGAGTTGATTTTTCATGTGTTAACAAAATCTTTTCAAAGGTGCAAAAATGAAGACAGCAAATGACAATATCAAACCAAGTGTTTGTTATGTTATAATATTTAATAGGAAGTTATCTTGGCACTCTGACAAATCCTAACATATTTTGCTGAACATCTAACTATTAAAGTGTAGACCTCTTTGAAGTATGCAACACCAGCTTTTTATCTGTATTCCTACAAATAGAAATAATATCAAGGCCATAACGACCATATAAACTGAGAAAATTGTCCTCTGGTAGGAGAATTTAGAGACTACTGCACAAATACTGATGATAATAGAGCAATACACCATAAGTATGAGGAAAGCCATCCTACATGAAGCAAGGACTACTTGCTTCAGATGAGATCTCTCATCTGCCCTTTTTCATCCAGGTTAACTCTTCTACTTACTCTCACCACTGGGTTCTAGCCTGTCCAAAGCCTGGGACTGACTGATTTACTGACTAATATTTATTTAAATGTTTTGCTAGTAAACAGTTTATATGAACTTCCTGTTTGGTGCAGAAAGTGGCCTCATCTGCATTTTTTCCTCAACTTTATCTCAAAGCCCCTCATTCTTCTTATGGATATCCCTGCCTGCCAGCTTTGACCTCTGGTCAGTGTTGGTTCTTTCAGTCTTTGTCTTGTCTGCCTCAATTCCTGAACAATGCAAAATTCTAATTCTCAATGTCACTCCACTTGCCACTGATAAAAACTCTTGTTTTGTCCTTTACTACCATTTCAGGTGCTTCTAGATTTCCTCTAACTTTGGTCTCTGGGTCCTCTGAGATGTCTAGTAATATTCCCATCACTATTCTCAGTCTTGGTAGCTCACCTGTTTCTGGCCAAAGCTCACTGGTTCAGCAGGATGATTGGATCAGAGTTTGTTTTTATATTGTACTATCTTTCCCCTGACTACTTGTATTTAAAACTAAAAATTGCACTGGGAACTTAAAATGAATGAAGGAATGAACAGCATACATATAGGTAGAAGTTCCAGAAAGTGGTTGTTGGTTGATGATTTGTTTATAGCAAAAGCCTCCCCCTGACAACTCTCCCCTCCTAAGATTTAGCAATCTGACTTTGTTCTTGTTTTTGAGTAAAGTGCTAAGATCAAAATAAAATTCACTGTCCCCAGGACCAAAGCACTCAATAGTAAGTGTTCGATAAATATTTATTATTATTATTGATTGCCACTTTTGACATTTCTGGAATCAAATGGTCTCATTAAGAGCAAATTCAAGCATATTTAAAACATTAAGAAATACTTAGAAAAAAGAAGTCATCTGATGTTCTAAGAGACTTTGCTGTTTTTTTCATGGAGAAAGAAGAAAGAAATAACAGAATAGGATTTTAGGATTTTCATGAACTTTCAATGTAGCAACTCTTTAAAATGGTACCATTTTAGGATTTTCATGAACTTTCAATGTAGCAACTCTTTAAAATGGTACCATTATGCTGTAACCTTGGATAAAGCACATGTTTCTAACGCTACCTCTTCATCTGTAAAATATGAGAGATGGACAGCAGAATTAAAAATGACCATTTCCGACCCCAAATCCCATAGATGTATGATTTTAAACACAAAGATATATTGGATATATTGAAAATGTGTTGCAGTGGCAATCATGCCTTATCACATATACTATTCAAAGATTCATTGTTTTTTATGCAACAGTAAGTTATTTTTCAAGAATTAATCAAACTGACATTTATAATTTAAAGAATCCTTAATATTGAATGAAAACAGTTTTTTAAAATAAATTTATTTACTTTTGGCTGCATTGGGTCTTCATTGCTGCGCGTGGGCTTTCTCTAGTTGCGGTGAGCGGGGCTACTCTTCGTTGCGGTGCGCGGGCTTCTCATTGCGGTGTCTTCTCTTGCTGCGGAGCACGGTCTCTAGAGTGCAGGCTTCAGTAGTTGTGGCTCTCAGGCATAGTTGCTCCGCAGCATGTGGGATTTTCCCGGACCAGGGCTCAAACCCATATCCCCTGCATTGGCAGGCAGATTCTTACACTGCGCCACTAGGGAAGGGTCATGAATACAGTTTTAAAATTGACAGAAATCCCATTGATAAAGTGCCTTTGATGAGGTTTAAAAATTTAGGATGAATTTTGATATTGATAAGTTAAAATCAAGCGTAAGTTACCTATGCTAGGAGAAAATAGTATATTGCCTGAGTTTTGTACAGGCCAAAGGTCATAAATAAATACTTGAACTTTTAAATGTACTCAGGCTGAAAGTTGAAAACCTAATTGATTTGTAAAGTTAAAAACTATTTTTATAAATTTGTAACTTGAATTGCCACTTATCTTTATAAGAATCACTTGAATTTTTTCTTTTAGTTTAGGTACTTGCCTTAATTATATTACTCTTCAAACGTGAAATAATGTTCTAAAAATGAATGTCCCTTGTTATTTTGGCAATTCTTGAATGACAGGAGAAAATTATCCCAGAAATTACCTTAATATATAGGTTCTGGTTCTGATTAAAGCCTTCCCTTAAAATTTAAACATAATTCAATAGTGCTTTACATCAAAGAGCACAGAACAAGGAGTTCCACTGCAATAACCAGCTCTTCCACTAACTTAATGTGTCTTTTGAATATCAATTCACTTCTGTGGACCTAAATTTTATCCTATTACAATAAAGGTGTTGCCTTAGATAAATATATCTGAAGCTGTGATTCTAGTGATTTCAATTAGTGTAAGATAATAAAAGTATCTATTTCAATTTTTATTTTTAAAAACATCAATACTATAACCATTCAAACTTTTCCTTTTAAAATGGAACTGTATTAGAGCCTGTGTGCTTGCACAATGGCAGAATGTCTCCACATCAATGTTTTGCCAGTAAAAATACTTCTTGATTTCAATACCCAAACTTCCCAGAATGTAAATATCCTTCACTACATTTTTCATCTAATGTTTATATGGAAATTTTATATCAATATCCCCAGAGCTCAATACAACATTAAAAAAAAAGTTTAATGGAAAAAGTCTAGAAATGTAATCTAATTATAATTAGTAGTAAATATAGATTATTT